ACCTGTCCACAGAAAGCAAAGTAGACATCATCATTAGCATTAAGTTATTCAGAAGAACAGCAATTTTACAGAAATGTTCAAGAATATTCAATGATGGTTACATCTTTACTATCGGGGTCCTTTCTGACAAATTTGACTTAAATTGCAAAGCCTAACACTATTCCAGTTTAATCACTGTTAATGTCAATAGCATAGTGGCAAATCTTGTAAATCTGAAAAAGCAAGGGGGGAAAAGCACGCTATTTCCCCCTATAGTACAGTAATTTTGCACTGATTTTCCTCAACCTCCTGTGCCTTGCTGACTTCTTAGCAAAAAAAGAGAGGGATAACAATATATCTTATATTTAAATAATGCCTTTCATGCCAAACTGGTTATAAATGCTAACATAAACTTCTGCCCTGTACAAAGTTTCCGCAGGAAATCACTTTTTCTCCCACTGAAACGTAGCTTCTTTTTAGGTGGGCAAAGATAGTTGTTTAGTAGCACACATTAATAGCACATTTTAGGGCAAGAAATAGAGAATGCAATTGAACCAGCAGGGGGAATTTATGTGAACTAGACTAATATCCCTGCTTTAAATGGAAATGCCAGAGATCATTAATGGTCCCAAGTAGCAAGCACCTCCATTTTATATCTCAAGGCAACTCTAACAGCACGTGGGCTCTAGGATGAGACACACTGCTTCACAACCTATTAAAGTTGCTCATAAATTGGCTAGGAGGGTTGTTGCAGAGCTATGGAAAATGCTCCTTTCTCTTAAGCCCTCACCAGTCTGCATCTCACAGACAGTGACAGATGAAAGCTGTATCTACCACAAAGTAGGAGAGTGCTCTAACCCCTGGAGGTACCAAACTAGCTACGCTCTCTATAGCGGTGGGGAGGCATCAAATCCAGAGAATAGGACAAAGGACTAGGAGTCAGGAGACCTGATGTCTCTTCTGATTCATCTTTGTGTGACCCATCATTGTAAAGAGGGTTGAGAGGTATGGATGGAAAAGGGTGGTGAAGTGCCATGGATTATTACAGGGAAAAGAGGCGACTATCTAGGAAAGACCAACCTGGAAAAAATGGCACGTTGCTCATGTAGTACCTAGACAGCAGGCAGTGTCTTCAGTGCAAGGCACAACATATAGAAAGGATCTCTCTCAGCAGCCATTGCTCTCATTAAAATTAGGTGATTGATAACTTAAACAACAGAGGCCCTTTGTTTTAGAAAACTAAATTGGATTGTGGTCCAGCCAGGCCTTCACCATGCCAGGAGTTCACAGCTACCAGCGGACAGGGCCACTACTTTAAAGAAGGAAAGGGTATTGCTGAAAGATAGCCATATTGGGGAAAACTACAGATACTCTCCACATCAGGAAGACTCTGAAAGCGCAGTCTAAAGTCTGCAGGATAATTATGGATCTTACAAAAGTTTCTGACTAAGGAAAGAAAAACAGCAGAGATCCATGCAAGAGCGGCAAAGGATCCCATTTAGTCTCCAGAGGCACATGTGACCCTTAAGTGCAGTCTGGGGTGCAGATTTCTGCTCTCTATCAAGGTTTCTATCCATGAAGATGCAGGTAAACAGGAAACTCATTTGAAGCGCTGGCAGGGTACATGACTTGATACTATAGCTTTCCCAGTGATTGCACCTGCCCGGAAGAATTAGCGAGTTAGTGAATTAGAAAGAGAAGGCAAAATGGGGACTCACATCACTCTGCAGTTCCTGGCTTTTCTTTGCATGTTTGATCTGGGAACTGTCAGCCACACTGGTGAACTTCAGAGCATCAGCTTTCTGTCTGTACTTTTTCTGATTAAAAGAAAATGGGATACAGAAATTAGAACTACGTTTAATTTCCCGGTGAAATCAGTGCTATTAAAAAGCCCACTAGTGATTGTGCCAGAAAGTCAAGTCTTTTATCCGTGGGGCACTTATAGGGCAGTCGGTAGCAGTGCAGGTTTTCACATCCTATCCCCACTGCCCCTCTGAAACAAGGCTGGAAGAATCACTGCTGGTGATGACAGTAATGCACTTTGGATCCCAAATCAACCTCTGCTGAGACTACAAACACGGATGGGAACTGGAGCTAGATATGCTGAGTATACACATTGCTGGGCCTAGATTTCAGGCATACAGCAATGACCAACTTCACTACCTGGACTGGATTTGAACAAATGACTGAATAGTTAAAAACTCTTTCTGGTAATACCAATCCCCTGAGCTGCTGAGTCCAAACTTATTTTACAAGCCCTTTCAAATGTATCTATGCTGTTTACATTACTGTTTACTAGACTGTGGCTTGATAATATTGTGCTGTTGGTCTGTCAAAGATCTCAAACCAGGACAGACATCTCTTGTTACAAACATTTCTCTCTGCTGTTTTGAATGCTATGAACGTTCAGGCATTGCCTTGGATCTTTTCTCCAGTAGCAATGAAATACGTTACATAGCCACTCCCGCAAAAGCTGGGCTGTAGGCATCCCACACCCCTACTCCAGTCTTGCATATGGAAAGGACCATCCAATTCTACCTCCCCCCTCACACTGATAACCCCAAAGGTAGCCCTTTTGCACAAAGACCTGAAAGTTCAACCATACGTGAATAGACTGCCCAGTCATTCAGTACTTGACCCAAAGCCTACTGATATCAAGGACTCTCATTGACTTCAATGAATCAGATGTATTCTATATTGGGGCATGGACAGAAACCGCCCTACAGTATTATATATCAATGTGAATTATGCTGCAATAGGGAATGGGAAAAAATGGGCAGCTATTCCAAGGTAGCTCAAGCAGATTCTGCTATTTATACTGTTCCTCGACACTAGAAGGGAGAGAAACAAGTGGCAGCCTGTTTGCCTTTAGCAAATGGTTGCCCAGGATGGACCCTGAGAGATGAAACCTTAATCATGAAATTTTATACCTGATTCTTTCAAGCAGGAGTTGGCAACCTACAACCTGTGGGCTGGATCTGGCCCAGGAAGTGGGGGCTCTGGCAGTGTTCGGTGATGGGGAGCTTTGGGGATGATCAGCAACATGGGGCTTTGGAAGCACTGTGCAGGACGGTGGCCGGGTACTTTGCCCATGTTGCACCACAGGTGTGCAGGAAAGAGAAGCAGCAGCCCCGGGAGAAACTACAGCAGCTGGGTCCCAGCACTGGCTCACCCCCTGCCCAAGCTGGGTCCTTCCAGGCCACCACCAAAAAATTGCTGGGCCCTGCTTTCTGGATAATTATCTAATCGTTTAGGCAAAGTTATCCCAGTTTATGGGACTGCACTTTTTCACACTGCTGTAAAGCTGACTATTCAGGTATAAACATGTCATCCATCCATGCCCTTAATCTCAATGATTGAACTTCATGTGTTCTGCCTTTCAGAGAAAGCAAGACATTTCAGTCTGCCTTTGAGAGAGTATAATAAATCCTGACTAGTTCAGGACAAGAGTCTGATTGGGACGCCAGGAAAACTCTTCTTGTGTACTTAGTTTTCTTGTTATTATTCTAACGATTCAGCAATCAATCTGTTTTTCCATTACGTTTCAATTCAGAAAGGAAAGCCACTATTTGAACTGATAGGTGAACAGATCAGTTCACACTGAGACTTCTTTAGTTTTGCATGGAACAAAAGTTAAAAAAGCATGCAACACTTCAAAGAAGTGCTCACGGCTTTATACCAGAAGTTTGGAGGTGAGAGGCAGATTAAAAAGAGTTTGTTTTTGTCACATTTTATGCAATACAATGTAACAACATTCTGCAAATAAATGACAAAATGCCAACTTCTGACTGGAAATAGAAACATCTGAAATAATAAATGCTGGTTTATTACAGGAGCTTGGGAAGGTAGTAGCCGCCAACATTAGGTTTTACACTGCACTCGGATAAAGAGGGAGATCATTATGGATTAAATATTTGTGGCAGAGCTATATCCATATGGCAAACAACAAGAGCAAATGTCAGTCTGTCTTCAGCAAGAAACTGGATCTAGTGTTGCTGCTTCCTCTTTTGTTTCTAAGATGTATTTTTACTTTGCAGAGTAGTGAGCGAATGTCAGAGGCCACAGCAGCAATGTATGATCTCTAGTAGCTAACAGTCTCCTTTTACTTATTCCTGCACTAAGTGGCCTTTTATCTACCTAGTCAGACTTCTGCTATCTTCCTGCTTTCTGCCCAAATGATGCAACTAGACTCTAGTTAGGAGCTTGATGAAGTGTCCTTCCTGGCAGTGCCAGGTCCTGAATTAATAGGAAAAAAAGAATAGGACAGCAATACGAGCTGACACTGCCAGCAAAAATTCCTAGAAAACTGAGCCTTGAGCTAGCAAGGAAGTTTTGGAAAATGGAAAATCCCATTCCTTTTCAGTGCTACTTGGCCAATGGGACAGATAGAAGAGTGAGAGGGAACCATTATGCTTACCCAGAAAACTAGCAAAAGGCAAGGTAGATTTGCACCTTTAGGATAACCAAATTAGAAATATATATAGCATTAGATTAAATGAGCTCCAAATCATGAAAGCTTATGCCATATGTATTTCTAACTGGGTTAGTCTATGAGGTACAAATCTCACCCACCTTCTGCTTGACTTCAGACACCTACCTACTTCTTACTACCCAAAAACCTGCCATGACAGCCCTGCAACACTAAAGCCAATTAAATGGGAGAAATGTATACTTGTGCAATAGGCAAACAGTAGCATCCCCAATTCCAACATGGCACTTCCCATATTGCCTACAGCAGCATCCAATCAGCCCTCTCATTTCACAGATTTCCAGTATGCCTGAGATTTTGTTGCCTCCTCCACATACAGTAGTGTAGTGTAGTATACAGTAGTGTACACAGCTGGAGTGCAGTGTAGTATACAGTAGTGTAGTGTAGTATACAGTAGTATACACAGCTGGAGTGCAGTGTAGTATACAGTAGTGTAGTGTAGTATACAGTTGTGTACACAGCTGGAGTATAGTGTAGTATACAGTAGTGTAGTGTAGTATACAGTAGTGTACACAGCTGTGGAGTGTAGTATACAGTAGTGGAGTCAGGTATACAGTAGTGTACACAGCTGGCCAACTAGACTTCTGCCTTCCAAGAACCTCAGCCCAAAAGCTGAGTGTGTTGCTTACCTCGCTAACAAGATCTCCGGCCTTTTTGGCTTGCTCGATATTGAGACTCCCTTCTGTTATCCACCCAACTCCTTTCATCCACGTCAGATCAGCCTTGTACTGAAGCTGCAAGGGAAAAAAGATGTTTATTAGCAAAAAAGACGAGGACACAGATACAGTGCTGTCACAGTAGTGTACACAGCTGTGGAGTGTAGTATACAGTAGTGTAATGTAGTATACAGTAGTGTACACAGCTGGCCAACTAGACTTCTGCCTTCCAAGAACCTCAGCCCAAAAGCTGAGTGTGTTGCTTACCTCGCTAACAAGATCTCCGGCCTTTTTGGCTTGCTCGATATTGAGACTCCCTTCTGTTATCCACCCAACTCCTTTCATCCACGTCAGATCAGCCTTGTACTGAAGCTGCAAGGGAAAAAAGATGTTTATTAGCAAAAAAGACGAGGACACAGATACAGTGCTGTCACTTGAAAGTGTGCATGCTTGCCAGTTTAAATACATCAAGAGACACTTTGAAGATATAAAAGGATACATAAGTGTTAAGTAAATATAATTAAATCATGAATATCCTAGTAACCATCTGTTTTATATTCTGGTAACTCTATTACTCTGCACCCACAGCAACATTCACAAGAGGATTGTGTGATCTTACATCACTCTGAAGCCCATATGCCTTCTTGGCCCATGTTGTCTTCATGTCTTCTGGAACCACTGTATACTCGTGGAGTTTCCTCCTATAGTCAAGGTCACTGGCCAAAGCCTGAGCAGCCTTAGCATGCTTTATGTTTACCATGTCCATGGGCAAGTAGAAGTGGGCCTTACTCTCCTCGAAATCTTTTTTGTAAGCAATCTAGGATACAAAGAAAAAAATACGTCATCCTTACTTGAAGAAAGACAAGGGAGAACATAGTGGTTTAAAAGTAAATGGTTTGATATCAGTGTATATCTGCAGTATGCTGCAAATTTAAGTACTCCTGCATTGGTTTTAAAGTGGATAAATTTGCCTGTCCCGCTGCAGATGAGGTAAGCATATGAAGGGTTGAGATACAAGAAGGACCTCAAAGCGGATCCGAACTGTTAACCTGAATGTTTGGGGGTTCCCATGGCAGCTTCTTCCCTGGATGCGTAACACATTGCAGGTCCCTTCACTGTACTTGCTTATTTTATAGCTGTTTGTAAGCTTTATATGATAATGCAAAAAAAAGGTGCAATGTCATTTTTCACCTCCCATAGTAAGATCAATGCTATCAACCCAGGGTTAGGGAGCAGCATCTGAACAAAATATAAGTAGCATGTATGCCTTGTAGATAAGGAGTTTGAGAAAGGAAACCAGTTTTACCCAATAACACCCCAGGAGTGATTATGAAAGAGACACTAGAAGGATGGGGGAAGAAAAGTGGAATTGCTGCAAGAGATTTATAATTATAAAAAACACCTTTTAAGGAAGAGAAATAAATAATTTACCTCACTACTCATCTTAGACACCTGCAGAGAGTGAAGAAGTCTTGAATCTTTGGTTCCAATTGCTTTGCCTTTTGTTTTTTCATATTCTTCTTTGTATTTAATCTTTAAAAAGGAAAACAACATACTATAAGTTTCTCTTTGCCGCAGAAATATGTCGTGTTTGTTTCTTGGCCATTTGGGTGTTCAGAAAGCAGAGGACATGTTGCACACCCTTTACCTGCATTTTTTATTGTTATTATTAAAAAAACTCAGCCTTTCCTAGCTTGGATCATTTGATCAATCTTACATCTTTCCCACAGCAAAACTGTTCATTCTTTTCTATTTTTTTAATTTTATTGAGCTAATTCCTGAGTTTGTTACTCAGGATCTGGGAAGCAAACTGTTAGTGCGGCACTAAGTACAAAATGAGCGTGGACTTTAGGGTCCGCTCAGCTCTTTTTCCCCGCTGACGTAAGTAACTTTTCGCCTGTTCGGTTCTGAGCATTCGTATATTGTGCTCATCGGTGTAATAACCAAGCACCTTCCAGTAATGCGTGAAGCAATGTGACTAAAATCTGTCACTCGACAGTATCTGTTTCTGGGGTCTTTTTTTAAAAATTACACGCTACTCTGCATTCATGCTAAAGAAGGCAAGTTAAAGAAGTGTGCTTTGCTGAAAGTGTAGAGAAAGGGCTGAAGTGTTTAATTTTACTAAAGGCAGATTCAACTAGATTTGACTAAGGAATATTCAGAAGTTACTTTTCCTCTGCATGCAGGAAAAAGGCCTTTTTCGGGGAGTCGGTCGCATAAAAATGAGTCTTACAAATGGTTCATAATTTTCATGAGCCTTTTAGAAGGCTGAAGACATAACAGTAACATTCAGGACTGATAAATGAGGTGGGTACAATATTTTTATTAGGACTAATTCTTACTCAATCCATTTTCTATTAGCAATAATTCTTACTCAATGAAATATAACTTTAAAAATAACCTACATCACTGGCAAGATCTCCTGAGGCTTTGGCAGCAAGTAAAGGCATGGAGTCCAGTTTCATTTCAAATCCATGGCCCTTGCTCTTCTCCCAACCTTCTTTGTACTTAACCTGAGGGGAAATAATAAAACAGCATAGCACCCAACGTACATATCCTTACACAGCACTTTATGCAAACATGGAAAACAGCAAGGAATAAAAAAAAAATACATTATACTTAGTTACATATAAAAGAAAATCTCTTGTGTTGTATTGCATGATCAGTTTAAATCATGGAAAAGGGCAGATGTGCATGTGTAGCACTTGTGATTCCCTATGTATACCTGAAGCATGTAGAATAATGTGTCAGTTTTAAGGAACCAAGATACCCAATGGCATTAGATGCCTAACTTCACTGAAAGTCAATGGAGTTAGGTACCAAATGTATTGAAGATGAGATTGTCGCCTCTGGTTTATAAAGCAAAAGAAGTTTTATGCCCTCAGAATTGTGAAAATAAATTGACAATGACCCTCATGTTTCCTTGTGTGACTCTCATGTGACCCTTATGTTCCCTCAGGACTCAAAAACTGTAGGACAGCTAAAAATATTATTTGCTCAAAATGTCATGGTTTTGAGGCCAGTCTCATGAGTTGACTCCTTGTGGTTGGCAATACTGTCTTGAGAAGTTTCTGCCCAGATGTGCTTTCTCTAGGTCAAAGCTGACACAGACTGATCCCTAGAGATTTAAGTAAAACACCCATGGTGTGATAAATCATGACATTTAGCAATAGTGAGTTTGGTCCAAAACACACTAAAGTCAATCTGAGTCTTTCTGTTGACTTCAATGGGTTTCCATCAAGACCTAAATAGTTGGTCTTTGTGCAAATACTGTCCTGCAAGTGATAAATACAATGAGTGATAATTGGATGGGCAATCTTTTTCATATGCGCATCTGCCTCCTACAGAAATTCAAGTCATTTTGAAAGATCTCAGAACAATTCTCCCAGCTAGGTCCTGCTTCGCATTTTATCCCTATTTATTGCGGGATCAACCTCATATTGTTGAAAAATGGCACAACAGATATGTCGAATGCTTCCTGAATCATCTGAGCTACTTTCTGTTCATTATAACTCATTTCTGTGATAGCACGTGTATCTATATTTGCAAGTCACTTTCTTACCTCGCTATATAGTTCAGCATTGGCTTTTGCCTTGATTAACTGAGGTACGTCTTGTGGTAGAGTGTAATGTGTTTTGGTCTTCTCATACTGGGCTCTGTAATTCAGCTAAATAGATGTTGAAAGAAAAATCTACCGTTAGTTTCAATCCGCCACATATAATGCCATTTAACTTCAAATGATTGTGGTTTGTTTTAATACATTAAGCAGCCCAATAGGACCGAAGAGCGTAGGCTGTAAGTTTATAAGAAAGAAAAAGCCTATGGATCTGCACTGGCGACCGTCAAGGGTTTTCAAAGTGATATCATTCCAACTCTGTTACTCATTTTAGTGACAAGTGTAATTATCAACTATAATCAACGAAAAGCTCATTAATATACTTATATGTGCTGCCGCTTGCTGCTGATTTGCTGGGAGGCAAAAACCACGGCATATTTAAAACGATGCTTTCTACCTCCCAGCCAATCAGGTCGGAGGGGCAGGTACGGAAATGAGAAATATGAAAGGAGCGTCCGAGCAGCGCATTTCCACTGCGATTTCGGTAGGTCCCTACTTATACTAATAAGCAGAAGTGGTCAGTGGCTCTAGGACTTACGTTACTGAGCTGCTGTGCATTTATTTTGGCTTGAGCCATTTGTGGGGTGCTGGAAACAGAGCTGTACTTCAGCTTGTCTATGCTTTGTCTGTAGTTTACCTAAGAAACAAAGAAAGGAGGAAATACTCAGACAGCACCTGAGAAGAACGGATGGTTTTGCTAATAGGTTCAAACTACAACCTAAAACTATAATAAATTGAAAGCTACAACATAAACTATAATAAATCACATTGCAGAACAGCTCCTAAAGCTTGGAGATGCCACTGAGATTCAATCCAACCAATTGTTAATCCTCATAATGTTTCCTGGTTTTTCTTTTATTCCAATGCAAAATTGAGCCTTGCTACAAATGTGGATTTTTTTAATGAGATGCAGTTTCCCTCAACAGCATTCTTGTACAATTAATATCTTGAGCTGTCTCCCCAAATTCCTTTTATCTTCTAAAAAGGAAGCTGCAGCTTCTCTTCAGCATCCAGCACAAAGTTGTGCAGAACAAATTATAATTCAGTGAGCTCTATTACTATTTTCCTGTACTGATTTTTAAAGTTAATAATTTATACTAAAAAAAACTTACATAAAAGTTTTGTGTAGGCTTCTCTAGAAGGGAAAAATATATATGCTTAAAAACATAATTTCAGTGTCAGTCACTGACCGGATTTAGAGCTCACTAAATTCCTACCACACTAATCCAGTAGCAGCAATAATAATCTACAAAAGGAAATATATTAAATCTCCAAATTATGCAAAATAAAATGTCACAGAGAAGTTTTCCTTTAAACCTAGTTCTCCCAAGGGCCTCTGCATTACACTGGAAGACACAATTATTATTCTCTGTTGTCCTTAATTAATATTCACTGTCATTAATCACCTCTTTGCAAACACCGCAAATTATGTGTTGCTTAAAACTAATTCTTCAAGTACATTTTTTGCTTAGAGTATATTTTTAATGGCAGTTACAGTTATGGAATCCATCTTAATGGGGTCCTTTTATCTCAGATATCCATGTGTAAGCACACTTCTATTTCCTTCCATACTAACGCACACTAGAAGACACGCATGACTTATCTCACAGGCCAAAGGGATCAATGTACTTAAAACTGTTCATTCACTCTTTCTTTATAGATATCTAGGGCCTCTCTTCAGCTGAGAGATTCCTTTTTTTTTAACTGAACTATGTGTACTTATTGCTGCTGATGATCCTTTGAGAATTGGGAATGACAGCTGTGTAAAAACCTATCAAACCTATATCCCAAACACTTGACTGAGCTCTAGTTTCTGGACAGATCTGGGCAAAAGGCAGGTTTGGTTGCATATGTCACATACACATTCTTCTTTGGAGTATATAACTCAATCAAGCACAGAATCTATCATGCTAGTCATGCACAAAAACTTTTTGGAGTCATGATAAATATGTATTAGTTCAAAATGGTCACTCTCATTGACACTGCAATTATTTCAGACTCTAAGGCAGAGGGTCCCAAACTTTTTCTTATTGTGTACCCCCTTCCAGATTTACCATCTGCTTGCATACCACTACTAGCATACTTTAACCCCTTAAATGCAATTATTGTTATAATTAATATTAAATCTGCTATTACACAATTTTCCCCTGCCATTACACAGAGTTTTGTACACCCCCCTCTCCCCCCAAGATGTCTTGCATACCCCCAGGGATATGAGTACCAAAGTTTGGGAACCCCTGCTCTAGAGGCAGGTGAGTCTCCCATATGCAACCAGATGGGAATATTTATTCTCCCATTTTCTCTAGCCTTTTCCAGTTCCCCTGTTTCCCAGAGCTAGATACCTGAGCCTTGCTGCCCCCACTGTGCTTGTTTGATTTTATTTTGCAGTCACCAGCTGTTTGTCCTCCTAACTGAATCAGTGCCTGACACACCCTATGCACTGGCACCCTCTCCTACAAGGAGAGGATGAGCCAAGCAAAGCAACAGGATGAGAAGCCATAACATTACTTACATCTTTCAAAGGAACCAACTTCATTGTTGTCTGATAGGAAGGAGTTAGCATTGCCGGATAATTGTATTCAACGCCATCGTGTTTGTAATCAGATTTATAGGCTATCTGAAACAGAAGGAAAACAATAACAATCAATCTTTTTTTTAAGCTGTCATTTGTTTGAATAATTATCAGTCAGGAGGAGAGGAGAAACAATAATATTAATATTAAACACAGGAAACAAAGTAAGTTCAGTACCGTCAATGACAAAAGAAATGAAATTATTTGCATAGTTTAGCCACTAATTGATTCTTTTTCAGCTCTGCAATTAATCCAATGCCAACAGTTGCAACATTAACTTAACTTCTGCCTGTGACATATCTCTTTTATCTTTCCGCTTAGTTCTTGAGCTTGTTATGGATTTGTAAATAATGCACTTGAAGGAATGGTGTGTAATGAAATAGTTTCTTGACTAACCCAGCAAATTAAACCAAGATTCAGAACTCTTCATTGAAAATGGAGGTTGTTTCTGACACAAGACTGACCCTAAAGGATCTAAGCGACTTCAACTTCTATTTATATCAGTGAAGCTGGAGGAGCTCAGTAGTTTTCAGGACTGGTATCAAGGTGAATTGGGTATCAAGGTGGATCAATATAAGGACATAGTGCAGAATGGTTTAATAGATTTCCACTCTTCTTGACAGATCCATCTTAAATACTCCATACATAATTTAATGTGAAGTTTCCTATCAAATCAACACTATTAAAATCAAAGGGAAAAAAAGCAGGTATGTACATAAGAGAGCACTGCCAAAGTACCTACTACATTATAAGCACAAAAGACTTACATTGCTTGCCAAGCTGCCAACCTTCATGGCATGTAGCATGCGCCTGTCCATGCCAATGCCTTCATAATGACCCTTCATCTGGTTCTGGTAGGTTTCTTTGTATTTAAGCTACAAACAAAAGCAAATATTTGCTCAGAACATGCATTACATTTTATTGTGCTATAGCAGTCATGTAGATATTGTGCATGGAAATGATATAGGGGATGTTTCCCTAGTTTAAAACATCAGTATGGATTGTATAACTTTGCTTACTTAAAAGAAAAAAGGAACAAGATGTATAATCGTTATTTCCCAAAGGTCCCATTTTTCAGAGGATGTCATTGCTTGTATGCTCAAAGTATCATACAGAATCACACAGTGTTGGTGTCCCCTCACCTTATTGCTGAAAGGTATTCAGCTCAGAAATCAAGAATTATTTAGCTAAACTTACAGAAAGAGTTATCTATACCAAAGAAAATACTACTACCACAATTTAACTTTCACCTTTGATTAATCTGTTTGAATAAAAATAACAATAATTTTAACCTGTGAGTAGTTTTTGTTCTTTGTCACACCCTGAGCGCACCTACACAGCAAACTTACTATTGTGGGCAGTGGCTCACACAAGCATGCTGTGCCACTTTGCCTGGTTTACCTCCTGAATCACCATTTCTGCACAGGCTAAGGGCAAGCTAATTAGATCTGACACTCAGCACTGCTAATTAGCACAAACGCAGTGCTTTGTGAATGCAGCAACACTGCCTCAGTTCAGAAGGTAGCCTGCATTAGCGCCACAGTATATTTGTAGGTGGCAGTGCCTGGCACACTAAGTCTGACACGTAGATGTGCCCATTCTGTCTTACATCAGACCTTAGCCAGCTAGGAGGTCTGATCATTGGGTTAATTGTCCGCCCTCCGACTCCTGCCTTTTACTTCAAAATGATTTAAAAGGAGTCACAGATCGAACAATACTAACAAGCATTCATTTTATATATTATTTTAAAATGTTTCACTCTCCAATGGACATCTCAAAAAGCAGCTGTTGAGATTATCAGCACACATTTTCCTGCCAGAAATAGATATAATAAATGACACAGTGTGAAAAATAAATTGAACAATAAACAATGCAGTGCGCTCAGTCTCCTCTCCCTCTGTGCCTATTACTTATTCCTACTACCATAACCCATAAGAGCTCCAGTCCTGGATCAGGTCAGCACTGTGCACAGAGTACAACGACATTTATAATCAGACACACTGTGCAGCTTTTACTCGAATTGCCTGGCTTATATGGCGCACACAGATGAATTGTCATTCCAGCAACTACTAAGTTATGCTTTCATCAAACTACAGGCAAGTTTCTGGGAACTTACATCACTGGTGTATTTTGAGATCTTGCTCACATTCTTGAACTGCGGAGTCTCACAGTAGTTAATACTGTGGCCCTTACTGTTTTCCAGGTCCTTCTTATACTCCACCTGAGCCACCAAAATGCACAACAGTGAGATGCAGCAAAATATTCAATTACCGTATAAAAGGAATGCTCTGATTAGTCGTGCCAAATTTCCAAAAACATTGATATAACTTTCTTATGAGATAGCACATGAATTATTGACACTGTGAGTCCATCCTGTTAGGGCTGCGCAAAGCTTCGGTAGCTGATTCGATTCGGAGGAGATTCGGCCCGATTCCAGGACCAAATCTCCGAATCTGAATTGAATCGGGAGACCAAGTAAAAGCTCCGAATCAATTCGAAGCATCTGAATCATTCCAGAAAAAGTTTGGAAAAAGATTTGTCCGATTCAGAGATTCAGCCATAGACTAAACAGGCAGCTGACAGCTGCTTCCAGCTGGTAAGTCTGTTGAGGTTCGGGGGAGGGAAGAGGCATGGAAGCTGCCCCATGGCGCAGGGTAGCTCAGCAGGGCACCGTGCACTGTCTGGGAGCTGGGGTTGCTCTACCTGTCACCTGGAGCTCCCAGTTGGATTCCCCAGCTCTCTGGTCATTCCTCCAGCTCTTCCCAGGGGCTGCGGCCCCCAGATCTGCACACGGGGTTATAGCAGGCTGCTGCTGCCAGATGGGGAAATAGCCCAGAACCACTGCCATCACCTGCTGCGTCATCTAGGGGCCCACATACCCCGAGAAGTGCTGGGGGAAAGATCAGGGAGCTGGGGAATCGAACCGGGAGCTGCAGGAATGTTCAAGGACCTGAACATTTCCCCAGCCCCTGGCTCAATTCCCCAGCTCCTGGTTCGAGTCACCTGGGAACTGGGGCGGCTCCTTGTGTCAGCTGGACTAGGAACCGGGAAGGGAATGGGGCCGGGCAGGGAAGCCATGGGGGTGTCTCCCACAGCTCCCCCCACCTGGGGAGAGGCAGGCACAGCCTCTGGAGCCCTGGGAGAACCTGCAGCCACCCGGTTGTGCCTGCCTCTCCCCAGCCGATCCAAATCACCAAATCTTTCCAAATCAGTGCCAAATCTTCCGAAGGTGATTTGGCCGAATCTCCGAATTGAATCACTGTCCGCCAAATTGGCCGAATCCAAATCTGAATCAAATAGTTCCCTATTCACACAGGCCTACATCCTATTACACGTATACAAAAAAATTCCCACTGAATGACCCTATGGTCAGGCAAAATTCAGATGTAGATGTGTTATTGCTCAGAGGAATTTGGGCTTCAGATGAAATGTGGATATTTTCTTTTTTTTTGTAAAAATAATACCTCACCTAAGCGCTGAACTTGTGTTTGAGCATAAATTAAAAATATCAGTTTCAAATAAATTCACAGCCGAGAAAAATAAAATATCAAGAACATACGGTGTGCTCAGAGCACTTTTTGTCTGTATAGCTCTCGCTCTACAAAAGAAAGTAAGGATCATCAAGTCTCCATTTTAGAGAAGGGAGGAGAGAACTGAAGCTTACAGAAATGAATTGATTTGCCCTGAAGTCAGCCAGGTCAGTGACAGAGCCAGATATAAAACTGAGGTCTCCTGAGCATCAACACAGTAGTCAACAACTAGCCAAATAAATAACATTTTGGGGAACATCATCTGAAACAAGGATATGCCTTCTTCGTTTTCCTCTGCCTATAATCTGTATAACCTTGGTTGCTTTTCCTTAAAGAAAAAAGAGGGGAGGATCAAGAGTATCTTCATGAAAGGAACTGGTTAAAAAGGGAAATATTAAACACATTCAGTGAAAACTGTGGCTCAGGAAACAGAAATGCTATTTTGGCTTATCAGAAGATGTTTCTACTTTAAAGACAACTTGAGTGGATGGGTGCTGGTGAGGTCCTCAATCTACTGTAACTTGGCCTACATCCACTGGTGTCAATAGAGCTGACAGTATCTCTGGATATGTTCATGAATGTTTTTCCTGAAGGTACGACCACATTTTTAATTACTCGTTGACCTGTTTTCATGCACGTTATTCAGCAAGGACCACAGTGTTTTGCATTCCTAGCTTGAGAAATCAGAACCACCCTTCCACAGAGAAACAGATATCGCTGCATGCGGTATGTCTTGCTTCCCGTAGGTCAGCGCGACCCTTTACCTCACTGGCAAGCTTGTTAACATTCTGGGCTCGCTTAAGAACTAGGTTATCTTCGGCCGAAAGGGAATGGTAGTGTGCTGCTCCTTTCATCTTTGAAAGATCCTTCTTGTATTTTATCTAAAGAAAAAGTGAAAATATAATCAAAATATAGACATATTGTCAATACTGCTCTTTCTAGTTATTTTAATGCTATAATAATACCTTTCCTATTTCTTTTCACTTTAAAAAGCGAACAGAAAAATGAAAAAAGGTAGAAAGATAGGTTATTACTTCCTAAAATCATCTCCCTAGAAAATTACAAGTCAGACAATCCCATGGCTCGCATGAAGCCACTTGACAATTTAGCCAAAACCAGGCTTGGCTAGCAACTTGGTGAACAACTGGCTGGGGTGTCTACACTATTCTTTTAACAGATTCAATTTTCTGTAGTTTAATGTTAACCTACCAGTGAAGAAATGGAGGAAGGTTATGAGATGGGAACCCTATGAAGTTTTCTTGTACAGAGACCAGCTTGTTGAATGTATGGTACTTTTTTATAGGATTTCTAAGATAAATATGATGCATGGGTCCATGTGAAAGGAAGTGATGTTTAGATGATAAAGTCTCTCTCTCTGCCTGAAGAAGGGTGTTTATACCCGAAAGCTTTCAAAAAACTTTTTTCCCAACTATTTAGTTGGTCTAATAAAGTTGGTCTGTATCTTTTATTAGACAAAACCTTGTCTGCCTATGTCTTTTATCTTTTATTAGACAAAACTTTGTCTGCCTATGTCCTTAGATCAACACAGCTACAACCAACACCCCCAATTTAATTTGCAAATTTTACCACTGACTTAATTAAATAGGGCCATGATTTCACTTATGGGGCTGAAAATTTATATTTATATATTGCCTATCTTTTGCACATAAATACTTCAAAAGGACCACAGATCAATGATTTACACCGACACCCAGCTGCTTACGTTCTTTATCCCATGCAATTTAACATGCCTACATTTGAAAGTTTGGTGTGTGTTGCAATATTATGATCACTCTGATTTCATTTTCAGAATCTCTTAAAGCCAACTTCTTAGGTTGTAAACAAAATGAAGCAATCTGATACTGCAATGCATTTGACCTGAACTACAACAACCTCCCCGCAAATAACTGCAAATTAGGAAGCATCATTTTGATTTTTCACATCTTGAAGATGGATTAAAATGGCCTCTTTAGTCAGGGAACTTGACTGTTTCATACTTAAACTGGATATCGTTGGATTTTTCACCAAAATAGATCACAGCCACTGGGGATCTCAGGCTTTTTATATTCCCCCAGTCATGGGCCCAAGTAACAGAACACCATGAAACCTGTCACCTCTAAGTCACTGCCTGTATCTGGTCCAGGCTGGCATTGGCTGAAAGATCTTAACATCTGCTGGTTTAATTAATGGTCTGAGTTGATGGAGTCAGTCCATTTCCTAGTGGACAGGTGTCCACGAAACAAAAATTATCGCCAACAGGCACCCCTCGTAGCAACAGCAGACCGAATAAGCACAGAAGAGACATGTAGACTGACACAATGTTCGCTTCTAGAGGCAATCCCTTTAACTGGGCTTGATCATCTTTGGCTGATGAAGAACCAGACACTGCCACTTCTCAGTCTGTGCCTATTCTTTAAATAACCGCTCAAAAAATCACTGGATTGCAGATAAGGAGTGCAGTCCATATGATGTGGCAGTGCTATACCCTACAATCCCTTTTCTTAATATGACCTCTCAGCTGGAAAGGTACAATATATACCATATGCACCCAAATCAGAACAAGGAAATTGCATCTCTTGACAAAAGATACTGTAACAAGCCTCATGACTAAAACTATTTAGATATATAGGCTGCATTCATTATAGTGGGCACTACTAAACTTCTGAGTCAGGGTTGTACAATGTGAGGGGTTAGGTTGAGGCTGGGCTCTCACCTGGCCACCAGTTCCCCACATTGTTCCAACTGCAAAAGCAACTGGAGTCTCCCGGCTCCCCTTTCATCTTTGGCTGCTTCCTTCCCTTGTCCCAGGGGGTAGAGCAGTGCAGGGAGAGGAGGGGGAGGCCAGGCTGTATGCGAGGACTGGGCTGCATGGGAGGAGAGGGAGGATCATACTTGCATGGGGCAGCAGTGGGGGGAAGGTGCATGGCGTAGCAGTGCAGTGGGGAAGTGCCTGTAAGGATGCACTTTGCAGTGGGGCGTGGGGGACGTCACAGCCACTCAGTACAGCAATAGGAGGTGCGCAGTGCAGCAGTGAGGGTTGCCCAAGGGAGTGCACAAAGCAGTGTGGGGCAGGGAGGCAAGAGCATCTGCACAGTGCACAGCCTGGTAGCCTGTGGCTCACTGGCGCAGTCCAGGTGGTGTGCAGTCCCCACTGGTGCGGCCCCTGGGGACTTGGAAGTTGGAGAGTCAACTCTGAGCGATCTAGTCCCCAGCAATATGGTGAAAAGCCATCGGTGTTTACTCTGCTGATTTAATTCTAGCATTCTGCTTTCTGCGTTGACAAAATTGCTATTTTTTTAACCATTCCAGTAGTATATTGATGATTTCAGTTTCATACTTACATCACTTGCCAATTCATTTGCTTTCTTGGCATTTTGGTAAGCTGGCGTGATCATAGCAGGAAAGCTTCCTTTCCCCCTGTGCTCTTCATATTCACCCATATAATCCTGCAGAAAATTCAAGAACTATGGGTTACTAATGACTGTACTAACCACGCCCCCTCCCAGTCTGTTCTTGTTTGTCTGGCTTATTATTTCCATTTCTTTGCTAAGTCTGTCATTTCATATTGAAATATATGCATTTCATCATCATTATATGAACTTTCTCTATGGTCTCTTTATTTATGTTGCCCAAGTGATAGCATTTTATAGTCCCCATGTAGCATTAATATATGTTTGTCTACAAAGACAAGAAAGGAAGAATGGTGAAGGACTCAGCAGTTCTGATTCAAATCTGGCTCTAGATGAGGGCCCCTGCATGACTCAATAACAGCTCTACTGGCTTTAGTCCTCATGTTTTACACTGTGAAAAAATACTGTCCTAACCCACAGGGATCTGTTGAGGATGAAGTCACTCTGTCATTAAGAGCTACTCGGGTAGTATGAAAGTGAAAAAACAAAGCAAGCAAAGAAGTTCATTGTGTTAACGTTGTCATTCTTGTTGTTCTCGCAGACTGATTTCAACCAGGGTGCAACAGCACCCTGTGGTGCCTTGAGATCCTTTTGAGGGTGCCATGACATGCCACACGATGTTATTAGAGGTGTATCTCCACGTGCTATTAAGGTGAAGAAATAAACTCCAGTGCAGTTTGCCAACTGGGGCACAAGGGTATTAAAGTGCAGGGCTAGGCAGCAGGCAGTCCCCACGCTTTAGCACTCCCGTGTCCCAACCAGTAGGCCAGTGCAAAGCAGCAAGTATTTGCTTTGGATTCGGATTCAGAGGGACACTGATTCGATTCAGTGATTCAAATCACTGTTCTGATTCGATTCAGCCGATTCAGATCCGGAGATTCGGCACCAATTCAGAGATTCGGCCATAGACTAAACAGGCAGCAGTCCTCGATGACACTGGATAAAGCTACCTCCAACTGGTAAGTCTATTTTGGTGGGCAGAGAGGGGAGGGAAGGGGCATTGGGGGGGAGGCAGATCAACACCTCCACAGCGAGGAAGAGATTGAGGCTGGGGCTGGGACAAGCTGCCCAGCTGGGGTGGGCAGACGGGAGACTTGGGGAGGGGAACTCCTGCCACTGCATGCCACCGGTCTGGGAGCTGCTCTTCTGGTGGCTCCTCCAGCGGCTCTCGCCACCTGTCCAGGAGGGCATGGGAGCGGGCGTGTGCCCCCGGATCTGTGCAGGGCAGGGCAGCCTGGGCCAGGCTGGGCTCTGGATAGACGGCAGAAAGCACTGGGAGCAGGGGTTTTGCCCTCCCACCGCTGAACTGTACTGCTGCTTTGCCTCAGACGCTGCCGCTACACCACCTCGGACAAGAGGTTCACAGCAGTGAAACCCGCTCCAGCCTCCTCGCACACCCCGGCCTGTCTGGGTGTGTGTCCCAGACAGGCCGGGGACACACACCCACTCCTGAAAATATCTGCCTGGTCAGGAATGGCATAAATAGTGTAGGAAAGAAGTAAACCCTGCCTATTTTTGCATTCTCTCTCCTAAGGGCTCTCACCGCAAAGAAGTGCATTGTAGTCATGTTGTGTTGCATCCAATATCACATGTTAAGATAAGGTCACACCAGACTGAGGTCTGGGAACAGCCTCTGTACTTGTTCTGTACCTAAAAAGATATATATATATACACACACAGAGGCTCTAAAAATAACCATGAATGATTAGCTGGGTCGCTCTTTTAAAATGCTGTTCTTCAGGCTGATTTCTAACTTCCATTCTGACTTCTCTTCTTCAGTTCTTTACAACTTCCTCAACAAATGTCTTTCATTTTTTTCCTATCTTTGATCTCAGTCCAAAACTGACATTTCCAAGTTTGAGCTAAATCAACTCAGACACTTAGTAGTTATCCAAACATGTACAAAACAGATTTTTAACAAAATAGGAATTTTTCATTCCGACAGCTCAAAAAGAGCTGAGGCTATAAACTTCAAATCTCACTTATTTTCTTGATCCTGTTGGGTTGGCTTCTAATACCCTTAACACATGTTACATAGCACTTTACTCCTAAAATAGCCATGTTCACATCAATGAAACTATTGGATGGGTAGTGTCCTGTCCAATTTGAAAAAGGGTATTATAATCTGCCCCAACAAGATCATGAAAGATAGGATAAAAAAAAATGAAGAGGATTAAAAATTACATTTAGACTGCTCATAATTTTGACACCTCTAAGAACAGCACATGAAGAAATAATAATTGTCTCTTCAAATATAATCCTTGGGGTTATGATATTTTGTGCTGTACATCTTCCAAGGGAGAGGCATCATTTCAGTAAAAAAAGGACATGGGGATTTTTTAGCATTGCCACCATAATAATATTTGCTGAAAAATTAAACAAAATCAAGCCACAGTGGACAGTGTTGAAAGGAAGCCTGTTTGTCCTCACATAGTTGAAGAACAGCTTGTCAGGGTAAAAATATCACTCTTATGCACAGCCAAAGTTTTAGAGACCTTCTATGATCTTAAGTGCTGTTTGAATTTATTTAAAGCTGCAAAGCTACTAAGACATCCAGAAATGTTGGCCCAGAGAATATGTCTAACTGCCTTCTCTCTAACACCTCATCCTCTTTCTTTTGAGGCTTAGATTTCTCCTGGAGGGAAACAAAGTTTAAGCCAGAGGGCAGCAGGTTGCATTGCCCTTGTGAAACTTTATGGCAGTATGAATAATCAACTGCAGCACAACATCTCTTAACAGCTCCATACCTGACTAAACTGATCCACGTTTTCTCTTGTGAAAGCAGCATCTGTTCCAACTCCTTGGCTGGCTTTTCCCCTCATCTCTTTTTCATACCTTTGATGATACCTCACCTAACAGGAAATTAAAAAAGAGCAAGCCAGATGAGTTTAGCCTGTTATGCATTTGCTGCATAATAAATCACACGCACATGTTGATGATAAGGGATTGCCAAAATGTCCATAGCTATCAGCCCATGGAAGACATGTTTGCTACGTGAATCTAGAACAACAAAATAGCAGTGTTTGGTTTCACATTATTTTAAGATCATACAATATGCCCTACCAGTTTAGATCACTAGTCTATCAATACCAGTATCCTCTGCTAAGTAGCAGCTGATGCCCGATGCGCCAAGGGATTCAAAAACAACAAATAATGAACCTAAGTGCAAAATTACCATAGGTGCCATTCATCCTGCTTAATCTCACGGTCTTTTGCATGTTGTACAGAAGGATTGTTTGCCCACCACTAATAATTAATAGGAGATTTTATTCTGCAAAGTGATAATGAGAGTCTTATTCTATTTGAGAGTTCAAGTGTAGGGCCAGGATTTACACTATCCCTGTTGAAGCTAAAAAAACACATGCTGAAGCTTCCCACAGATCAAGGACAATGTGCATAATAAACTATGGGCCCCTCTTAATTTTCACTGATGAGTTAATGACCTGAATAACTCTGCGGTCACAATTTAAAGTCACATCCATGCATCTAGCACATTGTACAATCTATAGTTCCTATCACTGCCCAGATATAAAATGACACTAATGAGTCATTTGGAAAATATGTTCATTAATCAAAGGAGCCTGGTAATTTTCTATTGCAAATCCTTTTTATGATTTGATGTGGTTTGGATTGGGCTTTTCAGGTGCAGAAGGGGAAGAAGAATCATATTGTGAGGCCAGAGCCAAAAGACATACTTTATATACTATCGGGACTCTGTTTTATTTATAGCCATAGTTTTATTTATAGACATTTATAGCCATAGTTTTATTTATAGACATATAATTAATTCTCAAAAGGCTGGCTTCTTTAGTCCACCAAGACTGTTCTGGAGCACTTGCATGGTGCTCCCTCCTCTGCCAACATAAAGGGAGGGCTGAGCAGGACAGGGGATTCATAGGGACAGGGAAATTCATAGTAGAGAAAAGCTCTGCTAAACCCTATCTGCCATTGGTGTAAGGTCATGGAGGACCATTGTACCACTGGTATAAATAAGAATTGCAAATAAGCAGCTCCAATTTATGCCATGGCTGGGCAGCACAAAATCAGAGGCCTGACTCCTTGTGGTCCCCTCCTCCCTATGGTGTGCAAGTGCAACTAAGAGCGGGTGGAGAACCCAGCTCACAGGTATGACCGCTGCTGGTTTCATGAACATCGAGATCTTATTTTCCTCTGTGCTTAAGCAAAGGCCTGTGGCCACACAAAAAACGATGCCACAAGTTTTGTCAGAAAAGAATATCGCCCAAAGACAAACATGCGGTTATCACAAAAGAGTTTTTGTCACTCACATCACTGGCTAACTCATTAGCTCTCTTCGCTATTTGATAAGCTGGGGTGATCATAGCAGGGAAGCTCCCTTTCCCTCTCTGTTGTTCATAATCTTCTGTGTATTTTAACTGTAAAAACAAGATCATTTAGGAACAAATAGAGCACACACATTTATATATACAGCAAACAAAAGCAACTTTAAAAGAAAAGCATTACGTTTGCAAAGTAAGTACTCAAAATTAGGAAATGCTAGAATTAAAGTGCCTTAAGTTCCCCCCCACCACCCATCTGAGTATGTATTATCATACATTATTTAATATACAATGGCATACTATTTGATTCACAAGACCTCTGGCTGATTCAGTGCCCAGGGTGAAGAAACACAGTTGTGAAATGAAAGAGGCTGTTGTCAGTCCCTCCTTTATTTGTTGCAGAAGTTGAAATCACAGAATTACAGAATAGGGCTGGAAGGGAACTTGAGAAGTCATCTAGTTCAACCCCCTGCCCAAGGCAGCAGCATCCCTATCCAAACCATCCTATACAAACCCATAGTCTAACCTCTTAGCAAAGGTACACAATCAACCCTGATACAACACAAGATATAACGCCCTAAACAACCACAGGTAAAGCAGGGGGACCATTGCAGGCGATGTCCCGCTGCTGCCAAGGTTGTTAACATATGCTCAAGAGATCTCAGGCAGAGGCCCAAACCTCCCATGTTCTAGCAGTGAAGTTGTGTGTACATAGTAAATGAAGATCCTCTCTTCCTCTTCTCCATATTCCCCATCCAATCCCAGTATCCCCTTCCCAGCTCCCAGTCTCAGCCTTTGCCCCATCGTGAGTTCTCTCCAGTTGTCTACCAACCCACCTCCTTTTCTACTGTACTGGTTCCCAGTTCTTTGCCCAGCCCACCCCAGCTGTAAGCCTAGTTTCCCTCCCCACCTATCAGCTTCCATCCCTAGTCTTTCTCCAACAGGCTCTGAGGATCTTTGTCCCAAATTATTACCCAGGTTTGTCCCCCTCATGTATTCAAGTCAGGCAACTTCCTCCCTTTCACTGCTCAGACTCTCGCAAGAGGATATGACAACACAGGAGAGATGGGCTCCTTGCTTCCCTTTCTACCCAGGTCTGCTCCACAACTGCAGAAAGCTGCAACCACAGGAAAAGTCCTGCTCGGCCCCAGACAGAGTATGTGCAGAGGAGATGGATTTGGGGGGGAACATATAAACTAAAATCTAAACATTTTATATGAGTCCTATGTAAACTACAATTTTTCAAAGTCTTAAAATAGGTCTGAACTTGGATGGATTTTCACAAGGATGGAAAAGGAATATCCCTGACCAAAAGTCACCTAACTGTCAGATGTCAAAGCATGCAAGCACTACAGTTTCTCAAGGAAAAGTCACCAGAACTTTTCAAAGATGGAACGTGCTTTTCCCCTACGCCCCGTAGAAATGGCTGAACAGTTTTAGTTGACATCCCAAAAAAATCTTTAGCTGAGATAGAAACAAACATGAATCATTTCAGCTCAAAAGGTTATGGTTTAGAAAAGGTATAAGCAACTTAAAATAGGTCTTTTAATAGGAAGCGTCTAGCAACATGAATAACAGACTCTGCTAAGCAAACTTTTAGACAGATGTGTGCTTCAAAAGCTCTGATTTAAGTATTAGATTGTATTTGTCTTTGTGCTTCAAGAAACTATTTAAGCAGTTTAAAAGATCTCCTTATTCTCTCCTCCTACTTTACTTACATCACTTGTAAGCTGCCCTCCAACTTTTGCATGTAGTATATCAGGAGTGTCTACAACAGAGGTGAACTTGGAGACCCTTTCTTCATGTCCACGCTTATACTCTACCTGGAAGCATAAATTGAATGCATTTTAAAGCCCTTTACTAGTAAATATCTGGTTATCTCCTTCCATGAGATTGGAAAGGGCAGCAGAACTGATCTTTGAGTCAGCTAATTATTTTCAATGTTATGTCCTCAGTATAAAGCTCTTGGCTGTAAATACAAAAGAAGGTGCAGCCACCATTGATGAAATGATCACCATTGATCATTACAGAGTATTCTGACTTTACTCATTGGCATTATTAGCTCAAATGTTCTATTATTTCCATTATAGGTCTATAGTGTCAAAAGTGTTAATTTTATGTAAAGAAAACATGAGCACTGTTGAGGGAAATGTTTATAACTACTTTTTTAATGCTAAATAATTCCAGCAATACGTGCAATACAGCCAGGCTGTCTTCATATAAAAACTTGAGTCCAGCTCCTACTGAAGTCAATGCCCAAAATAGCCAACATTTTAAATTACATTTGTAAGCAGTATAAAAATACTGCAAAATTCCTCTGTAATGGCACCAAAACGCTATCTGACAACTGTATCACTGCATTGCTGCATGCTGGTCATGAAACCCACTGCATGTTTCTACAAGGATTTGAAGGGGGGCTTATTTTCATGACAGCTTTTTGGATTGTTATTTTTATAATACATATGTAAACATCTATCATATACATACATTAAAGAAAATTAAGTTCACTATTGTACTGGTATGTATCATTATATAATAAGAAAGATGAAAAGGCCAGAATAAGTGGATAAACAAATCAATGAAAATTAAATAGGAAAATAAGAGTAATCAGTTTAGCTTAAAAACAAAACACAAAGGGTTTTTTTTTTAAGCTGAAATAGCAATTATGTCATGAATTACACAAAAATTTGCTGTATCTTAGAAGATGCCCATGCTGCAAGCTGTCATTTATGGTATTCTTCCAAGGCGAGGTAGGTTCCCAAGTCAATGTGTCAATAAAGTAAAAGATTTACCACTTTTGCAGGATTAATTTTAAGATGGGTGTTGGGCACCAACTGTGCTCTTTAATGTCAACTATTTAAAACCAGGATTTCCTGAACTTTAGTAACTTCAATGCACACAAAAGAAAATTGAGTCTTACATCACTGCTTAGCTGAGTGGCTTTCTTAGCAATCTGGTAAGCTGGAGTGATCATGGCTGGAAAGCTGCCTTTTCCCTTCTGTTGCTCATAATCTTCTGTGTATTTCACCTAGAAGTGACATTTTTTTTTGTTAAAAAAAACTCTGTTCATTAATGTGACCCCTCTTTTTAAAAACAAAAAAAATAAGCAAAGTAGGTAATGCATATCCCATACATGTTTAAGGTGTTTTAGAATAAATGACACACAAAAGAACATGTATTTCATATTTTTTCCTAGTTACAAAAAAATCTCAGCTACAGTGGAAAAAATCCATCTGCATATTTGATACACAGTAGTTTATACATGACTACTGCTAATTACATATGTCTTTCAGTTCTTTACTCACTGTGGCTGAATGGACAGCTATAGGTACTTGTGTACTCCATGAAAAATAAAATGTGTTTTCATAGATTTCATAGACATTAGGGCTGGAAGGGACCTTGGAAGATCATCAAGTCTAGCCCCCCAGACTGAAGGGCAGGAAGTCAGCTGGGGTCATAGGACCCCAACAAGATAAGCATCCAATTTACTCTTGAAGGTGTTCAATATAGGTGCTTGAACCACCTCCAATGGCAGGCTACTCCAGACCTTGGGGGCTCGGACAGTAAAGAAATTCTTCCTTATGTCCAGCATGAAACGGTCTTGCAGTAGTTTATAACCATTCGACCTCGTCATCCCTTGGGGCGCTCTGGTGAACAATCGTTCCCCCAGATACTGGTGAACACCCCTGATAAACTTATAGGTGGCCACCAGATCACCCCTGAGCCTGTGCTTTTCCAGGCTGAAGAGTCCCATGGCTCTTAGCCTGTCGTCGTAAGGTCTGTTTTCCTGGCCACTGATCATGCATGTGGCTCTTCTCTGGACTCCCTCAAGCTTCTCCACATCCTTTTTTAATTCTGGGGCCCAAAACTGGATGCAGTACTCTGGCTGTGGCCTCACCAAGGCCAAGTACAAGGGGAGAATGACGTCCCATTTTCCATCAGTGGAGCTACTTCACTGACGGTAGCCATGCTAGAAGATGTTGGGTAGGCAGGACATGTCATCAGACATGTTACTGTCCAGGAACTGAACTGTATCTTAACTTCTGAAAGTCATGATAATTCCTTTTGAATATATCTAAACTGGGAAGTAACACTCCTAGGTAACTTTGACTGTAAATGTATATCTAGACAGACAGAGCACACAAAGGCTAAAAAAACACTGTTGTTCAACAAAGTTCAACTCCATGTCACCCTTTCCTTTGGTAATTTGTTATTGACAGTTTAGCTACTATGAATGAGTAAGCCCTCAGAATATAAAATAAGCTATAAAAATAAAGCTGCTGCAAAGGTCAGCCCACTTACATCACTGAGAGTCTTCTGCGACTGAGCTATCCTGACCATTGCAGGATCTGGAATGGCTCCAGAATACCAGGTCTTGCCCTCCCCATATGCCGCTTGATAGGTTTTCTAGAAAGGAAAGATTAAGTGAATAGGTTTAAACATAAATAATGAATTTACTAGGGAAGAGGAAAACAAATAAAAATCCATCACAAAAATCAACTTACACTGTATAAATAGAAAGCACAACAAATATATCCACGTGAGTCTTATTATTTTTAATACAAAGTTGGAGTTTAACTGGTTCATGGACTTGGTTCTGTCCTTGCATATAGAGATGAATTTTATTGCAAAATATTTCTGTGCACATTCTGCAACGTTTTTATATGTGATATGGAATTAGGGCTTATTTCCCCCAAATTTCCAGTCGAATATTTGCTGAGTAGTTCACTGCATCATGCAAACAGCAACTATTCTGCTAGGCCATCATTATTATTATTGCTAAATGCATGCTAAACAGCGTGTAAGTATATATGCAGACCAAAATATTGTCCTTTTTCTGCAAATTCAAGACAAATACATTTTCTTTTCTTTTTTTCAATACTTTTCTTCATAGAAAATTATAGCAAGTGGAAACTACCAGACTGATAACCTTGAGAAATGACATTTGCTGTTTACCTGAAGAACAGGCATAGTATAGGCCATATGCACATCCCTCTACCAAAAGGGGCAACTTCTACAACTTTCTTAGATTCTGGCTACAAATAGATGGTGCATTTGTCCCAGGAGATACCATTTTTTCTCGGGACAATGTGCAGTCATTCAGACATCCATGTCTGTTGTCCCAGGACAAATCCTATAAAGGTTCATGGGATAAGAATCGCTAACAGTTTGCACTAGGATATCATGAAGAGCAAGTGAAGGCTGTCTGGGGATTGTATCATTGGATCAAAAGCGGCAGTGCATTCAACCACTCGCTAAACTCAGACGGTAAGGACAACATGCGTACACACCAATCTCACAACTTTTCCGTTCTAGGACAAAAACAGGCATAACTCGTCCTGGGACAAATGTGACATCTATTCTTCACTCGTGGTTCAGAGTTTTGAAAAGAGTGATGATGACATTGGGGATGTAGGTCATGGGCTGAGCCTGTCCAAGATGGCAATGCATTTGGTTATTACTTACCTAGGATGAATCTCATCTGCCCAGCTATAAGCAGAAACAGTCTATAGCCCAACATTGTCCATTAAACCAGCCAACCTGCCATTTTCTATCAAAGTTCCTATCTTTAATTAAGGGAGGGGTTTTTTAATATTAGCCTGGAGTCCTGGGGGCCTCAGGGAGCTGCAGCCACAGAGATCCTACCGCTCAGAGCCTGGTCGGCAACCAAAGCATGGCTCAGGCTGGCCAGCCTCCAGTTTTGGGTGGCACATGCTGCTCCCTGCATGTGCCGCCCCGCTTTTTTTGCGTGGGGTTTTTTGACCCGAGGATCTCCCAGGGTCAAAAATCCCCCCCGACTCCACTCCCCACTGCACTGCTACATTGCAGCATGGGGAACACCTGAATGCGAGGTGTGTGGCACCCCAGGACGGGTCCACAGTGCCACATATCACATGGCCACGCTTGTCTGGATGCAGCCAGTAAGTAGCAATTCACCTCTTCTCGGCTGCCAAATTTTTGGACCTGTGGGGAGGTCCATGGGCCATATAACACAGCCTCACAGGCCAGATCTGACCTGCAGGCCAGATGTTAAGCACCCCTGTTTTAAAACAATGCACATCATGTCATTGTCTGTGCTCCCTTTTCCATTCTCTCACATAAATGAGTTTAATAAGGAATTCCTCAGCCATTGTCCTATTGCTCCTTCCCCCTGATCCCATCTTTGTGGCACATCTACATGTCATCTTTAAAAGGAAACGCTGCCATAAATTCTGCGTCACAACTTTGTAGGAGGATCGAGTCAGAAGAAAAATGACGTTAGGAAGAAATAAGCCCCTAGGAAAACATAAGTGGATGAAATCCTGAATATGCTGAAGTCAAATGAGAGTTTTACAATGGATATCTGTAGGGCCAGAATTTCATTCAGTACTTGACAATGTGGCAAGAAAAATGATGGATTATAATAATAATATACATGGTGCCCTTCACTTGAGGATCTTTAATTGTGAGCAAATCTAATTAGTTCACTACATAGAGAAGGAAACAAGGCATGGGGAAGATAAGTGACTTGACTATGCTCATCATTCAGGAATAGGACCAAGATCAGAGTCAAGAGTATTTCTGCACCCCATTCAGGAGTGCAATTGCAGCATATGTAGCTATACCCAAGATAACTCTGCTAGCTTGAGGCCCAAAAGAGCAAAACCAGAGCAGCAAAGGCTTCAATCAACAAAAAAGTCCATGGAGTTGCCTACACTGAAGTCCATATTGTGACAGGTTTACTGCTTTTGGTGCCTGATCTAGGTAAATTAAAGCTAGCCAGGGTATATTGATACTTGCTTCAACTGCATCTAGTATTGCAGTGGAGGTAGTCCCCAAACCTCCTGACTTTTGCTCCCCTGCTTTAACAATTACAATGCACTGCCTTGAAAAACAAATGAAAATTAAACAGGCCATTCTAAAAAAAAAAAGGAAATGGACTGTTCTGAGTCAAATGCTGTGCATAAATGCATGCCAACCATCATTTTATTTAGCATGGGGAAGTAGCGCACACCAAAGCAACGCTTCGCAGGATGCCTCCTGGCAAGCTCCAGAAAGGTGTACCCTCGAAGGGCTTCTTTTACCTGACTGGCCAGCTGCTGAACTTTACACGCGGCTTCCACCTCTCTGCAGTTCATATCCCACTGGAAAACAGATTTGAATCGTTCCCCTTCTTCTCGATATTTACCCTGCAACAAAAACTCAGCATCAATATTTTTTTTCTTACCGTAGATGCAAAAGGCAAAGAAGGGCATCATTTTAAAGCTGGAAAAATGCCTGGGTGTACAGCACTGTAGAGTTAGAGTGAATTGCAAGGGAAAAGGCGAGTAGAAGTGAAATCAATACTCCAAAACGAATGCCAGACTTTAGTGGCTTGCACGCCAGATGTAAGCAATGTGCCCACCACATTGTGGGACTTTGTTTGTGTCTTTCTGGGTCCCAGATCCTTAACCAGTGCAAACCGGGTGTTCCTTTCAATACCACGCTCTAGTTAAGAGAAAACCTGTACTGCTACAGACAGAAACCATTGTGTTCATTACTGCTGTATCAGAGGAGTGCATCAGGAGCTCGGTGCACAACTGTTCACCAGGGCACCCCTGGGGAAGACCAGGACCAATGGATATATAGTTGTCTTCCTGCCTAGAGTGGGAGGGCTGGACCCAATGATCTGCAAGGTCCCTTCCAGCCCCCAGCATCTATGAATCTATGAAAACCCTTCATTGAGCAGGCCTGGACTATGGAAACTTTGAAGCCCACAGGAAAATACTGTTCACTGGATTCAGATCTCCATACTCACAGATTCCACAGAGCCCCCTTTACCAATATTTCCTCTTTGTCTGCCTATCACAACCTTTCTCGGCATGCTGCCCTACCCTGTGAGCACCATAAATGGGTTTATACTTTCTCCTACCTGTCTCCCATCCCTACCCAAGGGGTGTATGAAGTAGAGGCTAGATTAGCTCTCATCCACTTGGTGACTTCTAACTAAAACAAATTGCAGTCATTGGAGCTACTCGCTCTTAGGGAAACAGCGCATTGCAGTTGAAACCCATCAAGAAGATCTAAGTGGTTCCTAGACACATCTCCCCTTCCTCCATGCCCAGCCCCCACACACACGCACATAGTAATGAAGACTAAAATCCCATAAAAATCTAAGCAGATCATACAATTCAAATGTTAGTAAGAGATATTTTGTGAAGGAAACCACCATGAAACACTAGTCCTAAGTATCAGTCACAAGGCAATATTGCTCTCATTTATCCCTTTCTGACTTCAATGAGGTCAGTGAGGTTGTGTGAATATACTTAAGGGCATCGTCTAATCTGATGTCTATTATTATAATTCTTTATTTGTATTGCAATAATACCTAGAGACCCAAATAAAATCAAGATCATCTTGTGCTATACTGGCACATGCATTGCCCTGAAGAAGTCATAATACTGAAATGTATATATTGTCCTCATTATACAATATCTTCATTATACAATTAAAGAAGGAAGCACAAAGATGGCAATGCCCTGCCCAAGGTCACACCAAACATAAGTGGCAGAGCAAGGAATTGAATTTTCATCTCTTAAGCCTCAGTCTAGTGCCTTAAGCACAAACTAGTTTGTTATTTTCATTTGGGACCCAACGCCAAATTTTTTCTATACTACAAGCTGCCATAGAAGTGAAAAGGCATTTTCAATAAAGCCTGGATTAGGCCTGTAGATACACTTAGAAATCGTGTCTTTGGAGCTCAAATTCACTCTATGATTGAAAGGGACAGGAGGTGCTCTAGGTGAGAAAGCAAGGGAAAGTGATCTCCGAGCTATAATTTGCTTGGCGTGTATGCCCACATACACTGGAAGTAATAGGGTCTCATATCACAGCCGGGAAACAGAAATAGAATTTGCAGTAATCCCAGGCTCATTCCAGACCAGATCCGTCACACACACATCTTAAAGGAAGTGAACTTGATGTTGTTGTCATTGTTGGAGTCCAGGATATTGCAAAAACATGATGCATAAAAATGCTATAGAAGTACAATGACAGAAGGAGTGTAATATGTGATAAATGTTATTAAATGTATACTATCAACTTGATCAAGAAGAAAGAGAAACAGATATTAGTACATGCAAAATTTAAAATGCTGCATCCGTTTTCCATTATTTTATGTACAATTTTAATAAGATGCCAGATCCTATAGAAACACATTGTCTATACTTATTATTACTACCACTAGTACTATTACTACTACTATACGATTATTTTTAGAGGACTAAAAGGCACCACATTTAATAAAACAACATTATGCATGGACATGAGCCAGTAACCAGTGGTCTTCTGACATATTTTTCTTATTTTAAATAGTCACCAGAAGTGCAAAACTTAAACAAATGCCTTCAGAAGAAAAGAGGTCATAACAGAAAGCAATGGCATTAGAAAATAAAAAAGAATTCGAAGTCCTTTTGGGATTCTAGGCGCCTTTTGGAGCTGACATATCACACAACCAAGAAAATCAACATTAGCAATAATATTTCAGAAAAATGTTTTAAAAACAACAGGAAAAACTCCCTCACATCTCAGCCCAGATCTATCAAATGCTGAAAAAAACTTTTCTGGGAGTCTAGATGCATATTCTAATTAAATTTAAACTATTTAGTTGTTCGTGTCAAAGACCAGGCAATTTTATACAAGTTTTGTTTTGAGTCTTCAGCTTTATTTTGACCCAACATTTAAGGCAAGTGAACCAGCATTAAAGAAAATGTCCTCATGACCCACTGGCACTAATAATCAAGTCTGTACAGCTCGGCTCTGCATTCCTGGCAATTTTCAGTGACGGATACTACAGACTTCCTTGTAGAATATTAGATAAGGTAACCTTTGACAGACTGAACCTGCATTTCTTACTAAGATACTCACAGAATACCAAAGGATGTTTTGTCTGGGCAAGGATTGTAAATTAAGGCCACAAAGTAAGTAAAATACAGTAAGTAAGACTATAATACCATCTTGGGCTTTTTTACTGAAACTGAGACATTCTGGGCTTTTCTCCCTTGCTTTGCAATGTAATCCAATAGCTTTATTACGTAGAATTTAACAGCTATAATGCTTTGTTCCTCTTCCTAAATGAACAATGATCATGTAAGGCACTTATGAGATGCGGCTGAAAAATTGGGAAAAAATCTAAAGAAAATACAAAGCTAATTTTAAAAAATGTTCAGGTTTTGTAGCTTTTGTTGAAACACATCCAACAAATATTAGGAAGCATGTCTCTTGCTATATACAATTGATGTATTTGAAAAGAGATGTATAATCAATCTACAGACAAACAAAAACAAGCTAGAGATACGATCAAGAAGAAAAATCTGTTCCAGATCTAAATATCAAATCTGCCAAAGTATGGATCTGTTGGAATCCAGACCTTGGTTTGGTCCGTGACAAAGACCATTCGAAATAAGTGTGATCCAAACCTGAGCTCACCTCAAAAGAGGGCAGGGCAGTTGAATAAAGGGGTTGTCTTTTAATACATTTCTTAAAAAAAAACCCCAATGTGGTTACAATACCAGAAACAAAAAGTACAAGCAAATACAATTTATTTTAAAACTCTTACCTCGCTTACTGCTTCAGATTGTTTTTTCACATTTAAATTTATTGGTGTCTCAAATACGCTTGTGAATGTGTTGTTTTTTGGGTTATGTCTATAAAACAAGGTATAACAGCATATTAGAAATGTATCAGACTGTCCACCAGAAAGATATGCTCTCTTTTTAGTTTCTCAAAACCACTGCACCACCTCCACCACGCAACCATCAGATCACGTACAACTTACTGTTTTATGAAATAAGTGTCAACAACTCAATTAATTTTAATGATCATCATATCAATGCTGTGTTACTAATAACGAAAGAGAATAATAGAATAAAAACCAACTGTCATCTCTTGTTTTCAGCCAAGAAATTTGACAGGAATTGATCATTAGAAAATCAAATCATCCTGAAAAATGTAACTCCAAAAATTTGCATTTTACGTATTTTTCTGGTTACTAAGTGCATTCATGCCTTATTAACTCTTAACCACTGATATGGAAATCACTGCTTACAGTTACAACAGGCAACGTTCCAAAATATTTCCAATGGCACTTACAATGGTATCTTTTAAGACTTAAATAGGGGAATTTTATACATATGGCTAGATTCTGATCTCTGCCATATATGTAAATCCAGAGCAATTCTGCTAAAGTCAACGGAGTTAACCCAGTTCCATAGAACAGTTGAAGACCAGTTGGCTGCCCAGTGCTGATCTTCAATTAAAATTATGGTAATTCAAGTTTTAAGCCATTATGTTTGTTTTTTTAAAGTAAGTACACTTACGCTTGACAGTAAGGCTTCTTCTGGTGGCTAACAAAGTTATTTACTGTTAGCTTCATTTTGCAGATTTCACAATGAAAACAGGCTTTGTGCCATGTCTAGGAATAGAAAAGATTAAAAGATAGTGAAGGTGTCTCATATTTCCTTATTATTCCAGCAATATTTAAACCTCAACATTGACCCCTCTGTCCATTTCATAAATAGCCATTTACCACTGCATAAATGGCATTCATTAAATGGAGACTAAATTACTATCTTTAGTAAGATAGTAAGATAATAGTAAGTAATTTAATAGTAAGATAGTAAAATAATAGTAAGTAATTTAAAAGAATTTAAAAAATAGCAAGATAAAAAAAATAGTAAGATAATAGTAAGTAATTTAATAGTAAGGTAAATTACTATCTTTGCAAGTTTGTAACCTCGTCATTTTTAATTATCTTGCACAAAACACTCATAACCAAGCTTACCTTCACTCCGATAGCCACCATGAATAAAGAATGTATACGGTTAGGAGTTCAGTCTGCAACTCCAGCAGGAGCATGATCAAACCATATATTAGTAAGTAACTTTGCATATATCTATTAAACTCCAAAATGATCAAGAGAGAGTGTGTGTACTGACCTGATCTATACAGTTAATCTTCTCAGCAGGGTAAACCCCAAAGCCACATCTAGCACACGGCTGAACATTCATCTTGAAACCAACAGAGCAAAGAGTATATATCTATACACACAAAAGCTTCAAAAGATGATGATGACTTTTTGGCCTGTTTGTAACACTCCAGATAGTTCTGTAAAGCCCCTTTTCTATGATCAATTGCTCTCATTAAACTTCTGAAGCAAAGTCTCTGCTCCTTTGGTTGACCTTCTGTTTCAAAGTCAGCTGCTAGTTGGCTTTTAAAGATGCCAGTTACTAAGAGGGATTATTTTAGCAACTGTGTAAGTACATACAGAAGGGGAGGTGTTAGCAACATCTTTCTCTAAATAGAGGAGTGAAGTCACAGAAACAAATCATGTCTATGTGAATGACAGAATCTGGTCATTCAGTATTGAAGTTCGATGTTTCACATTAGTCGTCATAACCCCAGGATGGAGATAAAGATACAGGCCACATCATCATCATCAGTTTATCAAAGTAGTAGCTAGTCTCCCCCATGTACAATGAATGACTTCACTGGGGGCTAATTTGTGTCTTATGTATATTCCTGTTTATAGTAGCAGGAGCCCAAGGAAGACATTGTAACTCAGAGTGGGCTGGCAGACGTTCACTTAATGGTGCAAGGGGAGCTGATTCCTGACCCAAGCAATCACACCTCCTGACATGCCACATGTGCCAGATCAGAGACTGGATCCCAATGATGCCACTGCTGGCAGGACCCAAGGCAGGGGTTTGCAACTGCTGGAAAGGGGGAGTAAATCAAGTCCCCCCCACCTTCACCTGGCAGCTGCAAAACATGGCCAGGACCCTGGGAAAGGATCCCAGTCTCAGTGGACATCTAAAAAGAAAAGCATGTGCAGTTGGGCTGCGCACACAATGTTGGAAGATCCAGGTGCACAGGGACCCTGGGATATCTAAAAACCATGTGTGCAGCCCAGCCCCTGCACGGCAAGGCAGTCAACCTGCCAGCTTCCAGGGACCCACAGCATCAGCAGCTGTAAGAGCTACCCCCGCAGGCACACCAGCATTATCCACTACCCTCCCCAAGGTCTGCTCAGCTTGTGAGTAAAGAAGAGACCAAGAAGATGTTGGAGGAGCTTGGGGATGCCTCTGTGAAGTGTCACAGGGTTGTTCAGGAATGGCACACATTTCTGAGGCAAGAAAAGGAGAAAGACAGGTGGGAGAAGGAAAAGAGCAAAGCTGCCAAGAGTGCACTGCGGTAACTAATTAAATAAGGAGCTGGAGGAGAAAGGAGTTCATATGGGTCAGGGGAAACTTAGAAGATGCTGGCCGCACAGAGCGGATAATACAGATGGACATGGTAGGGCAGCAACAGCTCATAGACATTATGAGTAGCCACACGTTGTAGGAGAGTCTGCTCTGGCAAAGGTGTCACTTGCATTCGACCTGCTCTCTCCTTTGGCAGCCCACAGCATGCACAGCAGCCACAGGGTTTGCTAGTCCCATCCCATGGAGACCTCCTCATACTGGGACCCCACAGACCCCTTCCCTCCTCCCTGTGAAGACCCAGCTGCTTCAGTCTCTCAAACCTCATACTAGGTTGCTCCAATGCTAATCCAGCTCCCAACATTGCCAAGCAGCCAAAAAGAGGGGAAGCTGCTCACCACAGGCTCGTAGCTATGAGCCCTTCTCACCAACCGAGGTCTGAAGTTTTATCTCCCTTTTCCCTGCATGTTAACCCCACTCAATGACCCCGTTCTCAGTGTCCCAAATATTTGGGGCACTATTCGTTCTGGTTGCACTGTAAGAACAATAAAGTTGTGTTTCATTTAATATGGAAAATGTCCTTTTTGGGCAACAACTGAATTATTGCTGCTTGCAGAATGCATGGGTATTCAAATAGGATACCCTCACCCTGCCCGAGTATTACCAGCGACAATGCATTAAGTTAAAAAATCCTGGAAAAACGAAGAATGCAAAACGAGGCATGGACAAATTAGCCAGAGCCACAGGCTCTTGCAGTCCCACTGACCGTGCACTAAAAGCTAAAAGAATATGTTTAAAAATTAATGGAGGGACATAAAGCCTGCACAAGTGATCCTAACAACTGATCCCACAGAACCCCCGCAATGGACTGATGCTGTCCTAAAATCCATGCAGACCATGCAAAAGCATAGACACTATCACGTCCATATTGTCAGTAAGTTGTCCTTTTTCATTAGGGAAAACAGGAGATAGCTCCTTAAAAACTCCTGAAAAGGCTGAAGTGCTCAATGCCTTTTTTACCTGTCTTCGCAGGCAGAGTCCACTCCCAGATTACTGTATCAGGCAGCACACTTTGGGGGAGGAGGTGAGCAGCCGACAGTGGCAAAAGAACAGGCTAGGGACTATTTAGAAAAGCTGGATGTGTACAAGTCCATGGGGCTGGACATGATGCACCTGAGCGTGCTGAGGGAGGGCCAATGTGATTGCAGAGCCACTGGCCATTATCTTGGAAAACTCATGGGAATTGATGATTGCAAAAGGGCAAATATAGTTCCCATTTTTAAGATCAGGAAGAAGGAGAATCCAGGGGACTACAGACCAGTTGGCCTCACCTCAGTCCCTGGAAAAATCATGAAGAAGGTCCTCAAGGAATCCATTTTTAAGCACTTGGAGGAGAAGAAGGTGATTAGGAACAGTCAGCATGAATTCACCAAGGGCAAATCATGCCTGATCTACCTTCTAGGATGAGATGACTGGCTCTGTGGGCATGGGGAGAGTAGTGGATGTGATATACCTTGACTTTAGCAAGGCTTTTGATACAGTCTCCTCTCCTACAACATTCTCACAAATAAGCTAAGGAAGTCCGGGTTGGATGAGCGGCCTGTAAGATGGATAGAAAACTGGGTGGCTCATTGGACTCAAAGGGTAGTAATCCATTGATGTCTAGTTAGCAGCCAGTATTAAGCAGAGTGCCCCAGGGGTCAGTCCTAGAGCCAGTTTTGTTCAGTACCTTCATCAACTATCTGGAAGATGGGTTGGTGTGCACCCTCAGCAAGTTCACTGATGACACCAAGCTGGGTGGGGGAATAGTAGATATGCTGCAGGGTAGTGCTAAGATTCAGAGACCTAGACAAATTGGGGGATTGGACCAAGATAAATCTCAGGAAATTCAAAAAGGACAAGTACAAAACCCTGCACTTAGGACAGAACAATCCCATGCACTGGGGCAGGCTGGGGGTGACTGGCTGGGCAACAGCTCTGCAGAAAAAGACCTGGGGGTTACCGTGGACAATCAGCTAAATATGAGCCAAAAGTGCCCTTGTTGTGAAGAAGGCTAACAGCATACAGGGCTGCATTAATAGGAGCATAGCCAGCAGATTGAGGAAAGTGATTATGCCCTTCTATTTGGTACTAGTGAGGCCACATCTGGGGTAGTGTGTCCAGTTTTGGGGCCCCCCACTCTATAGAAATAATGTGGACAAAGCGGAGAGTTTAATGGAGGGCAACAAGAACATGTGGGCTAGGGCATGTGAAGGGAGGCTGAGGAAACTGGGCTTATTTAGTCTGGAGAAGAGAAGACTGAAGGGGAATTTAATAGCACCCTTGAACTACCTGAAGCGGGGTGACAAAGGGGATGGAGCTGGACTGTTCTCAGTGGTGGCAGATGGCAGAACAAGGAGCAGTGAGCTCAAGTTGCAGCAAGGGAAGTTTATGTTAGATATTATAAAAAAACTCTCAGGAGGAAGGTAGTAAACCACTGGAACAGGCTACCCACAGAGGTTGTGAAATCCCCATCCTTAGAGGCTTTTAAGACCTGGCTAGACAAAGCTTTGGCTGGGGTAACATATTTAGGGCTGGTCCTGCTTTGAGCAGGGGGTTGGACTAGATGTGACCTCCTGAGGTCCCCTCCAGCCCTCGTTTTCTATGATTCTAAATATAAGATCATTACCTGCATTATACGGTATATATTACATACCTTATAACTCCACTGCGGTGGCTGATCTGGTCTTGGAGCACGCATCAATTCTAGTTATGAACATTAAGGCCCACTGCATAGCACCAGCCATGGGAACATGGGATCTGCCCATTGCACCACTGCAGCTGGGAAACCCAACGTGTGCAAAACTACCAATTAACCCCCAGAGGCAAGGTTTCTACCATGTTTTCAATGGGAGTGAACACCCCACCCCAACATCCCCAGCAGGACTCTGCCCTCACCGAACTGCCTGGCAAGTGACCCACAGCACTCGGAGGCTGCGAGTTCCCAGCGGGTGACGGCCACAGTGAATAAAGGCAGGGCGAGGTTGGTAGGAAACCTCCACAGCTCCGAACAAACCACACAGATCCCTGGGAAGGCATCCCCTCATTTTGTGCCTGCCAACGGGCATCCCGGAGCCCTGGTCTGGTTCCTCAGCAGCGCGCACCTCAACACCCCTCGGTTTTGGGGAGAGGGGGGACCTCCAGGATCTAAAGCTGTGTGCTAAGGGCCTGTCTTCCCGAGGGGTGAGCCAGGGAGGGCTTCTCTCGCCCTTCACTTCAACATTAGCCCTAGGTGCAAATGCCAGGAATGGAAAGGGTGCCAGGGATGGAAAGGGTGCCTGTCTCCCTAAGGGGCGACCCAGGGAGGGCTTTTCTTACCCTTTGCTTCTACATGAGCCCTAGGCACAAACGCCAGGGATGAAAAGGGTGCCTGTCTCCCTAAGGGGCGACCCAGAGAAGGCTTTGGTTGCCCTTCACTTCAACATGAGCCCTAGGCACGAATGCCAGGGATGGAAAGGGTGCCTGTCTCCCTAAGGGGCAACCCAGAGAAGGCTTTGCTTGCCCTTTGCTCCAACATGAACCCTAGGCACAAATGCCAGGGATGGAAAGGGTGCCTGTCTCCCTAAGGGGCAGCCCAGGGAGGGCTTCTCTCGCCCTTGGCTTCAACCTAACCCCTAGACTTGAATATCAGGGATGGAAACAGTGCCTGCCTCTTGCCCTTGCTTCAACACAGACCCTAGGCATGAATGCCAGGTGCCTGACCCTGGGAGGGCTTTGCTTGCTTGCCCTTTGCTTCAACATCAGCCCTAGGTGCGAGTGCCCGGGAGGGCACGGAGCCTGCCCCCGCGGGGCGAGCCAGGGCGGGCTTTGCTTGCGCGGGGGCGGCGCGGCGCGGCGCGGAGCGGGATGGGACGGGACGGGGCAGGACGGGGCGGGCAGGGGGGG